ATTATATATTATGATTGTATTATAATAATAAATAATTATATAACTATAATTATAATTATATATATTATATCCTTATAATTTTACATATATAATATTAGTTATTAAATGATTATATTAATATATATATATATGATATTAGTTATATTAACATGATGAGTAATTTTGCCAATATGAAAATATTCATATCCCATTCTATTGCATTTGTAAAAGTAGAACCAAACAAATGAATTATCTTTTCTTTCCATTCTATTCCATTACTATTTTTATTACCATTCCTATTACTATTCCTTCACTGTAACCAAACGCACCTAAGGTAGTCATTTGTGCAAAAGGACTCAATTACCTTTCATAAATAAAATGATAGTTCTTTGAAGAGAAATTCTAAAGACTTTTGATCTTCAAGTTCGTGTATTTGAGAATAATAACTTTTATTTTTATTTTTTTTTAATTTTTATTTTTTGCTGATATTTGACGCAGTTGTTGTCCTTCAAATCGAACATACTTCCTTTTGTACAGGACAAAAGCCCTTTTGCATTGTTAGTTTGGATTAAATCCGACATTAGGAGTGAATTTTTCTGATTAGAAAAAAGCTAAACGATGATCTCAACGTTTTGAAAACACAAGATAGAGTTTAGCATTTCAATTAAACATAAGGGAGGTCTTTGTCTTTAATCCAAAGATAATTGAGTGAATTAAGTAAAATTTCACTTCATCATCATGTCTTCAAGTGGGCCTCTTCGGTGCATATTTTATTAGTTGAAACTATTAAGCACGAGGCTTACCTTTTCCCATCTCTCTCTATAGATATAGATGTAGAAATAGGGCTGTTCATGAGTTGGTGTGAAGTATGACTTTTTTTTCTCCCGTCTCAAAGAGTGTGAGTTGCACATATTTGACCCTAACGATATTAGAAAATTTTTACAACCCAATGATGTTTGGGTTGGGTTGGGACGGTGCGGGGTGGGTTGGGTGGTCGGTTTCAACATTTAAAGAATCAATGACTTAAAGTTCAATCCAACATTCAAAGTTTATCATCAAATAGAAATAATAACTCCAACATTCAAATGGATAGAAATTCAAATTCAATCCAACATCAAACATGAAGTAAAGTAGTCCATCCAACATCAAACATAAAACAAACATAAATTAGTCTACACTCATAAATTAGTCTTAACATAAAGCGAACATAAAAGCTTAATTCAAACATGAAGAAACTAGAGAGTAGAAATGAGTTGTCTGCCTAGAGTTATGTGACGTTTGGTTCATGGATTCAAATCATGTGATTAGAACTATTTTCAATTTACATGTATTTTTTGTGAGAGAAAATACTATAGCGAATCACGAACCATGATTCGAATCAGGGAACGAATCTAGATACCAAACGGACTCTTAGATATTAGAGGAGGCAAGTTAGAGCGCAGGTTGAGTTGAGGTGTGCGGGCCATTATAGGCCCACCCACACCCCGTCCCAAAACTTCAGGCTAGACATTGAATGGACTGAAAAAAAAAATTTAATACTAAAAATTGTATTTTTCGGGTTGAGTTTGGGTGAGGTGGGTTGAACATGCGGGTTTTGCGGGTTTATGAACAGCCCTATGTAGAAATACTAACATCACTCTTTCTATCACTTTCTATTCATTGTATAACACCTGAACTCCACTGACATGATTATTATTTATATAGAAAATGAGAACTCTTATGTATAGTTGCTACAGTCTTGTCAGAGATCAATATGCAAAAGGGGAACTTTTGTGCGTTCAAGTGGTTAGTATTGGCGCTTGTGATCATCTTTAAGTTGCATCAATGGCCATGCGCTATTCTTAAAACATAAAATTTAACTACACCAACTTACCAAAGAAAAAAAAAAATTTAACTACACCAAAAATATAAGTAGAACTTAAAAAGTAATTGAACTCCGTGGACGATCTGTCAAGAGATTGGCATAGGAAAAGGAGAACAAAAAGAGAAGGAAATACCCTCATTTTCTTCAAAGACCTCGCAGAGTTCTGTTAAACAGGACACTGGAAAATCAGCACCCAACTTATCATTGGTTTGGGCGTAAAGTCCCTAAATATGATATCAAATGCAAATTGTTCACATCAAAATTTGGCCACTGCCATCGTGTTATTTACACAATCCCATATTCGACCATGGCAGTTTACTATCCCACAAACATAATTCCGAAGTGCTCACTGTAAAAGTGGTTGGGTGGCTATTGAAACTGCATTTGCATTGACAATTTCCCTTAGGCCACAAATCTCTGAAAGTCTCACTGGAAGTTGTATGCCCTCTTTGCTGAGATGAGTGTATTTGATAGAAGCATCGCTATCGTCATTGGACCAACTCCACCTGGGACCGGAGTGATTGCTGAAGCTATGTTCTTGGCTTCATCATAACAAACGTCTCCAACCAACCTATAGCCTCGAGGGCTTTTAGCATCCTGCCGAGTTTAAACAAAATAACAGCTCAATAGCACAGAAACTTTGATGGAAGTTGGCACTGCGTCAAATTTGATGTTTTGAGAATAAATGCCAAATAAAACTGAAGAAAATAGTACATTCCACATTTATATTCAGAGAAAGACAAGAATTAATGTGAGGAGGAATGCATGACAATTAATAAGAACCAAAAAAGCATGCTTACCTCCACTGGATTAATTCCAACATCTATAACAACGGCACCAGGTTTTATCCAGCTACCCCTCACCATATTTGGCTTCCCTACAGCTGAGATTATAATGTCAGCCTGTCTAGTGATCTCCTCGGGGTTTGAGGTGCGGGAATGGACTATAGTGACAGTAGCATCTTCTCTCTGCCATATTAAAATATCACGTCATCTCTGAAAGGTTAGGGAAGTACAGAGATCACAGGTAGTTAAATGAATATCACCTGCAGCAATTGAGAGGCTGGTGTGCCAACAATATTGCTCCGGCCAATTACAACAGCTCTCTTTCCTTTGATATCTATGCCATATCTATGCAACAATTCAATGCATCCTTTTGGTGTACAAGGAACAAACATAGGTTCCCTCCCACGCATGGCAAGATGGCCAATATTAAGCGGGTGAAATCCATCAACATCTTTCTCAATGCTAACAGCATTTAAGATGTTCTCTTCATTCATATGCTGATAAAAGGAATCCGCAAAGACAATTATATATGTCATAAAAATTGAAGCAAATATAAATAGCAGGCTTTTCAATTTTGACCTTACTACGTAGTTTTACAAATAAGAGCTAACATTTATATGGTGTTTGATATTTTTAGCGTAATCCAACACCGCATTGCATCTCCATCTTTTATATACAACTTCATTGAAATCACATTTCCAGAGAAAAGAGACACAAGATCCATGGACGTTCAAACATTATGTAATTCATTCAATAGAGGTCAACAAATCAAATATTGAATTAAACCCATGTAAGCCTAAACAAACTAAAATCTCTACACAGAACTGACAGAACATCTCCAATAAACTAACAGGACAAATATTTATGAACACAATACGTACAATACAAATGGATGAACAAAAGAACTCAAACTCACACAAAATCATATTGCCTATAAATAGAACATAAGAATTTATAGTGTTTCACCAAAGGAAATGTCAAGTTCAAATAAAAAAGAAAAAAGAAAAATACCGAGGGCAGAGGTAATTGAACAAGGATGCCATGAACTGAAGGATCATCATTAAACTCCTTTATAAACTTAATCACTTCCTCCTCTGTTGAGTCTTCAGGCAAAGGCACTTCAAAAGAGTTGATCCCCACGGACTCACATGCTTTCCTCTTGTTGCGGACGTAAGTCGCCGAATCCTTCCTATTCCCAACAATGATAACGGCTAACCCGGGAACCTCACCAATTGCATCCTTCATCCTCATCACTTCAGCACTTATCTCGTCCCTTATTTGCTTCGCAACCGCTTTCCCATCAATAACTTCGGCTGTAGCTGATTTCTCCGTGGCCAAAGAAACTGTAAAATGAATCAAATAAATACATATTCAGTTAAAAACAAACTTTTCATGAATTGAGCACGCACGCAAAACGTTCGACGAAATGTCTGTGAAAAAATAAACACCGCAACGCCCATAAAAAGCACTGCTTCGTGTGATATCTGTTTGTGGGTAAAAAGAAAGCAAATAAAGGCCTTACATATACCAGTGACATAGGCAGATTGCGAATGTGATGAACGAAGAGTGAGGGGTCTGCGGGAGCTGGAGTTCGGAAGAGTCGCGAGGCGGCGGACCAAAGTGACGCCGGCGGCGCGGCGGCGGAGAAGTAGGATTCGGCTGAAGGGAAGAAGGCGAGCCTTGGTGGTGGATGAGGAACAGTCGGTGAAAATCATCGACGCCATTACAAAGGTTTGTAGCCGTTCTGCAGTTCGTACTGCGTATAAATCGAACTTCAGGGTCTTATACGTGATTATTGTTAACATTTATTAGGGAAAAAGTCGTTTCGTTACACGTGCCCTTACATTTTGTGTTTTTAATAATATTAAAATAATATTTTAATTTTTTTAAAATATCTCCTTAATTTTTTAGAGTTAATTTTTAGAGCATAAAATAGTTTTAATACCCCTTTATTTAACTAATTAAAAATTAATAAATTAAAAATTATTTTTTAAAAATAATAAAAAATTATTAAAAAAACATTATACATATATTAAAAGAAAGAAAGGGTTTCACCGTTCATGTTACAGTACTATGAACAATGTCTTTCCCGTTCTGTCCTTTTGAATGTGCGGTTACTATATTGCCCTTTCTTTCATCTTCATTTGTTTTGGTTTATTTTCACCGTTTTGGTCATTTGCACTCAAATTGAGTGTTTTAGGTTTTCTCTTTCCGTTTATTGCCTTCTACAACCTTCTACATCTTTATTTTTTTTTTCTTCTGGAGCAAATTTTCTTCCTTCCGTTTGCTACCTTTTGTAACCTTCTACATCTTTCTGTTTTTTTTTTCCATTTTTGGACCAAGTTTTCTTGCTTCCCATCTTCTTTCTTTTTGCCTATATATTTTTAGGTGTTTTCTGTTTTATCTATTTATTCTTCTTTGGTTGTATATGCATGGTCGTTTTGTCTTTCCTTGCGCCATTTGTTCTCTTTGTCTTCGGCTTCCTTGATTTTTTTTTGTTTGGATTTCATGAATTTGGTCGTATCTATGTTTTTACACACTTTTTTCCTTCCGTTGTTTGGTCGTTTACTTCATATCTATATTTTTACACAATCTTTTATTGCGCTGTTTGTTCTTTTCGTCCTCAGCTTTCTTAGTTTTTTAGGTTTCATTTTTCGGTTCACCCTCGCAGTCATATGGTATTTGGATTTCTTAATTTTTATTTTTCCATTTGTTTAGGCAAACTTTTTTTTCCCATTTGTTCTCTTATGATTTTTGTGGGTGTTTTGGGTTTTGTTGTTTTGTTTATGATTTTTCATTTATTTGTTTTTTTGGTTGGTATATTTGGGAAAAAATGTTTTCTTTGTTGTTTTCTTCATAATTTTTATATTTTTTCCCCTGCTTTTTATTTTTTCATCCATGTTTTTGTTTACTATATTTTGATTTTTCCGTTTGTTTTATTAACATTTCAGAATATGGGCAATTATGTACATTTGTCGCGGTCTAATTCTATTAATATTTTTGTTAATCCTTTACTCTAACACGTGTATTTTTTATCTTTTAGTTTTGTATAATGCGTATCTAAAATTTAACTGTATGTTATTTACTGGTTACATTTTGCGGTCGTCTTCATGCTTTGTGATGGCTGTCGTTAATTAATCATTACTTCTATTGCTTTCTGTTTGTAGGAATTTGTATTAGAGATTGAGCAAAACATTGGTAACTTTATGTATATATAATGTATGTTATTCTATTGCTATAATTTTTTACTCTCCCTTTGTCTTCGTTTTTCAGATAATAACATCTATCATGTTCTATTCTCTCTTCTTTCTCACTGTTTAAAGATCTTATTGATACTAGCCTTTTATTACTAATCTTACCGCCTTCTTGATATTCCCTTCTCTATTTCTGCTACTCTGTAATTTTGGTTGCTTTGTTCGATCTATCCTTTTGCCCGTGGTTCATTGACTGAGGTATTCACTTTTTTTTATTTACTTTGTTTGAATTGTTTTAGAATATTGATTTATAATGTTATGTTCATTTGTTATATGAAATATTTTATGTTCTTATTTATCTGTTTATTTTAATATATTTTTTTATGAATATAAATTCCTTCTACGTTATGTGATACAACACTAGGTTTTATATCATTCGTTTATTTCAGTATGTATTCATGCTTATGCTAATATTTGTTTATTGTCTCTTTCTACTCTTAATGTTTGTTATTTAAATTCTGTATAATGTTGTTAGGTCCGCAGAAGTTAGGTTCTTATTTTAGTTTTTGCCTTTCTTTGTCAAAAATTTAATTTTTTCATTTTAAAATTTTTAATTTCTTCTGGTTATGACGTTGTTATATTTATTTTGTTTTTAACATGTGCCGGGTAGTTGTTATTATAGATTTGGCTATCATTGATGTTGCCCTTATTATTTTGGACTTATGCCAATATATTTTAATTCGTTCTTCATTTTACTTATACTGTTACTGTAACACCCTGAAGAATTAATTGAGATTAATTAAAGTAATTGAGATTATTAGTGTGCCTAATCTGATTTAATTAATTGAGTTTAAATAATTCCAAGGTATTTAAATTATTCACAGTAATTTATTCAATCCAGAAGTGTGTATGGGTGCATTTCTAGACTGTTATACTTTACACATGTCATTTTCTTTTATTTTTCTTTTATTTTCTTTCCTTTTCCTTTTTTTCTTTTTCCTTTCTTTTCTTTCCTTTTCTTTTTCTTTCCCGTGCGTTTCTCTCTCTCTCTCTCTCTCACACACTTCCGTGCGCTCTCTCTCCCTCTCTCTCTCCCATTTGTGTCTCAAATCAAAACCGGATTCGAACCAAGAGTGATTTCAAAGAGTTTTCAACGTCAAGAGAAGGATTCGAGGTAAGATTACTGAAAGAACCTCTCTTGAATCTATGTTTTTCGGATTTCAAAACTTATTTTTGGTTCAAAACGGATTTTGATGATTTTGAGTAAAACTAAAGTAGAAATTGGAGATCTTGGGTTCTTTGGACTTGTTTTAGTACCTAGAACCCGGATCTAGTGGTTGTCCCTTGAGATTTTGTGAATTGGGACTGGATTTGCAGGTTTTTGAACTGATTTCCGTGAGTTTT